AGATAAGAAAATTGGCTTTCAAATAATCATTACATTCAAACGTATTCATAATTATTTGAATTTTTTTTTAATGTTTGTGAACGAATTTAAACATGATCAAAACATTAAAAAACCAAGTTTGAATAGTGTTTGGAGTTCGACATCATATTTGAGTTCAGTTTATTTAATTACCATCCTATGTTCATGTTTTTTAATACGATTAAGAAAACAATAAATGATTTTTTATTTTTTTAGTCTTTTCGATTCACTTGGAGAGAGGGAAAAAAAAAAAAAATTAGGCCGAAGAATACCTTCACTTTATGAGAATAGGAAGGTCTCGGCCCATGAATAAATTTTGTTGGTGCTACTGTTAGATCCATCTCTTCTTTCTTACTAGTTCCACTCTCAAATTAAGGTGCTACTCCTGGTCTCCTACCTGACTGCTCCAACGGGATTGGGATTGAAATGCAAAAGCAGAAGAGAAGTGAAATACAGAGACAAAAGAAGAGAGAATGTGACAGACATTATCCAGGGGGCGAAAGAAAAAAAGAATGTAAATAAGAATGATAATAGATTGGATATAAAATAGTTATTCATTTTATTCGATCTAATAAATGTCTATTAAGAATATTCAACGAGTATTAAAATGGATAATGGTAAGAAACTACATACCACTGATATGATTTTAAGGTATGAGCATCCATTTTTTACCTTATTAATACCCATAAATTTAATTAAAATTTTGTTATTAACATGTAAAGGTCTAATTGCATACAATTTAAAATTTAAGGATAAAAATATTTTTGTCAAAACTTCGAGGATCAAAAAAATTATAAATAAATGATCAAAATGTAATAAATAAATAAATTTTAACGATAAAAAACTTTTCTTAAAAAATACAAGGGCTAAAATAAATATTTTTGATAAATTAAATTTAACGGGTATTTAATGAATATTAAGTGAGTGGGTAAACTAGTATGAGTTAGGTATGAACATGGTAAAGATTTATATGCTAATTTTTTAATGAGTAATGAATATGATATTTTTTTATGGGTAAAATAAAAAATTGAATTAATGAGTCAGATATCGGTCTATTGCCATCCCTAAACATAAATATTGTTGTTATTGGGCAAACCACAGATTAAACCCCAGCTACATAGAAGTTTTCATTTGAATACTTTTAATTTCAATTGATTCCTCTAAGTTTCATAAAAATTTCATTTAGTGCCTGTCCATATGCGTCAATGGATTTGGTTTAAACTTTAAACCTTCCATCTATGCATAAGAAAGCAATGTTGATTTGTAGAGAGCTTGACCTTTTTTTATTAAAATTTTTTGAAGAGTTTTACAGAAAAACTTATTGAAAATTTATGAAAACTTATTGAGGATTTAATTAAGATGTAGAACTTTTGAGGATCCCTTTTTTGCCAGAGACCAATAACATCTCAGACGTGACTAAGGTCATAAAAGAAAATGAAGAACTTTAGAAAAACAATAGAACACAAGGAGGTCATCATTGCAAGGCTACTGCAAAGCTAGACAGAGGCTATGCTTGAAACACGGTTAGGCTTTTTTTTTTTTTTTTTTTTTTGTGTGTTCAGATGGGAATTTTCTCGTATGATAGTAACAAAAGGTTTTGAAGATGCAAAGGAGGCAGCCAAGAACACGAAATTTTGCATATTCCCCATCATGTTTTCAAATTCAATAATTATCAGATCTTTAAATTTAAATTCAAAGGGGGATGTTGAAATTAATCTTAAAATTTAGAATAACGTATGTATTTTTCTAAATAATTTTTTAAGTTTTTTTACAAACGTGTATGTAGAGTAATACAAATATCCGTCTTGAAAAAATTATAGTTTAAATCAGAAAAATTTTATAATACTTATAAAATAATTATTGTATATGCATAATTTTTACTCTATCAATCCATTTTTCGGAATAAAAATAGACACATAAAAAAAGAATCACATCCTAAATCATCGAAAATGATAAGAAGATTTTCGATTGGCTCAAATCTCTTTTTATAATTTTCTCTTTTCTATTTCCTTTTCTTTTTTGTCTCTACCTCTCTATGTAGTAATTTACATTAGTTACTTTTTAAGTATTATAGAATTTATCTTTGAATTAAAGTTATATGAACTCTTCTCGTATGAAAGCAACGTTACCTTAGTCATTAGGGTTTCCATCCTTTTCTTCCTTTCCCACGTTCAGGTGTGTTCTTTTTTTCACCTCTCAACATGGCTTCCCAATTCTCATGCAGATTCATAATCTATTTCCCAAATCAAAATTATGATCAATGACAATTGAGTCTTTCTCCTCTACTTTTTCTTTCATAGACACTTTTTTTTATCAATCTATTTACAACTCATGACTATTCCTGCAGCCTATCATTAGGGCCATCCACAACAATATCAGTGTTTGCTGAAGAATTAGGCATGATTAAGTTCACAAGAGAAAATTAAGATTTACAATTGCTAGATCAAGGCTGTTTCTGTAAAAAAAATGCCGTTTTTAACACATGAAAAATCCCTTATCTATAAAAGGCCGACCATTCCTGCAAACCCATCGTTAGGCCCATCCACAACAATATCAGTGTTTGCTGAAGAATCAGGCTAATAATGGCCAAGCCTTAGAGAGGACTTGTTGGGACTCGAAACAGAGAGCCCAATAGCACTACCAGTCCTTGGAGGGTGAAACCATGCGAGATGTGGACACAGCTTTCCTTATTGGCAGACAGTATCATGGCCCTTCTTCTTTTCTATATGCTAATAATTAAATAAATAAATAAATAATAATAATGTGATGAACAAATTCATTTACATGCAAATCAAATCTCAGAAGAGGAAATCAAACCATAGAAACGACAGAAAAGTTGTGTTAATAGTAAAATTACTAGTCCGTCACGGACTTTAATTACATGTTATTTTTTTAGGATTAATAGCTAAATTTATTCTTATGTAATACAGTAATGTTTTAGTTTATCATCATATTTTTAATTAAATTAATTTAATCTTTAAATATATGTTAAATTTTTAATATATTTTTTTAGTTAAATTTTCAAGTTAAATTATCAGAATTAGTTATGTAATTTACACAAGAAAATCTTCTATCGAGATTTTCAATCTGAGTTATCAAAATTAACTCATGTAATTTGTATGTGAAAAATCTTTTATTTGGCTGACTTATTAAGGTATTTTTGAAATAAAATATAATAATATGATTTATACATAATTATTTTTTATTTTAAAAATATGATTGCAAACCAGATAGATAAAAAACAATTTATGTACAGATCATATGATTGATTTCGATAATTAGATATGAAAATTTTGTCAAAAAGATCAATTAAAGACCTGAAGTTTATTAAGAATAAAATTAACTCGTTTAAAGATATATAGATACACATCAAGCCATTAACTCCAATTTTTTTATTTTTTTCAATCATAATTCATGTAGATATAATAATGTTAATCAGCACGCTCTTCATCCTATGAACCCTAACAACGAGGGAATAAAACGTGTTAAGATGATTTGAAGTCCATGGCTGGGTCACCCATCTCACACTAAAGAATTAGCACATAGTTTAATCCCCTCTCTAATGATGGATTGTCTTTACATGAGATGCCATCATCTTCACACATCATAAAATTATAAACCAATCTAAAGACAGACCCGCAAATAATTGAGATTAGGTCTACATTATCATACTATATTCTATGTATACATGCCCATTTAAAAAATACTGTTTTCTCATACTTATACATTTCTCTTATCACAATCATATATATATATATATATTGAATTCAAATAATTTACTTTAAACATCGATTATAAAATCAAATTAAAACCGTTTTTTACGTTAAAATATAAGATCGTTTGTTATATATAATTTAAAGTAAATTATCTAAACGGAGTTAAAAATTCATGAAACGAGACTGAATATAGAGATATATAGACTAATATTTAGTGTTTATTAATAAATAAATATGAAGATATATGGACTCATATTTAGTATATGTTAATAATTGAGATTAGATCTACATTATCATACCATGCTCTGTATATGCATACCCATTAAAAAATATATTATTTTCTTATGGTTATACATTTCTCTTTTCACAATCATTTATGTATATATATTTACTGAATTCAAATAATTTACTTTAAATATTGATTATAAAATCAAATTAAAACCGTTTTTCTGCATTGAAAGATAGGATTGTTTGTTGTACACAATTAAAAATAAATTATCTAAATTAAGCTAAAAATTCATGAAATGAGATTAAATACGGAGGTATCCGAACTAATATTTAGTATATATTAATAAATATATTTATTGAGTTCAAATAATTTACTTTAAATGTCGATTATAAAATCAAATTGAAACCGTTTTCCTGCATAGAAAGATAAGATTGTTTGTTCTATATAAGTTAAAGTAAATTATCTAAATTGAGTTAAAAATTCATAAAACCAGATTAAATATGGAGATGAGATATCTGGACTAATATTTAGTATATATTAATAAATAAATTTATTCTCTATCCAATTTTTTCCCTCCAAAAAAAAAAAAAAAAAAAATATATATATATATATATATATATATATATATATATATATATATATATATATATGACACCAAATAAAGTGAACATCCCATTAATCACGACGCGCAAATTCCAGCTAATCCAATCCCACCAATCTTTCTCTTTCTTACTTTGCCCTAATCCTTTCCTTTCACATTCCCCCCCCTTTCCCTCCCTCCCTTTCTTATTATTCCCTCTCTCTTTCCCTCTCATTTCCTCCTCATTTCCCTCTCTCACAAAAAAAAAAAAAAAAAGGTCAAAAGGAAAAAAGAGAGAGAGCAAAAAAAGGAAAAAAAGAAAAAGAAAAAGAAAAGTCTCTCCTCTCTCTCTCACTCACTCTCTGTATCTCTATCGCGCTCTCTGTCTCTCTCTGGTGCCTAAACCCCCCCAAGAAAACCTAGCCACCACCACCAGAAACCCTAGTTTGCCACCACCATGGACGAGTCAACTCAACTCCAACAATCACAACTCGCTGCCGTCCTTGGGGGCGATCCGTCTCAATTCGAAACCCTAATATCCTCCCTCATGTCTTCCTCTAACGAAACCCGATCTCAAGCCGAGCTTATCTTCAACCTCGCCAAGCAACACGATCCAAACTCACTGTCGCTCAAACTAGCACACCTCCTTCAATACTCTCCTCACCTTGATGGTCGTGCCATGTCCGCCGTCCTCCTCCGCAAGCTGCTCACTCGAGACGACTCATACCTCTGGCCGCGGCTCTCTCCGCAAACTCAGTCCTCTCTCAAATCGATTTTGCTTGCCTGTCTTCAGCAAGAATCGGTTAAATCCATCACCAAGAAGTTGTGCGACACCGTTTCCGAGCTTGCTTCAGGGATTTTGCCTGATAATGGATGGCCCGAGCTCTTGCCGTTTATGTTTCAGTGTGTGACATCAGATTCAGTGAAGTTGCAGGAATCTGCGTTTTTGATTTTTGCGCAGTTGTCCCAATATATTGGAGAGAGCTTGATTCCTTTTATTAAGGAGTTGCACGGGGTTTTTCTACAGTGTTTGGCATCGAGCACGAATTTTGATGTGAAAATCGCGGCTTTGAATGCTGTGATTAATTTTATTCAGTGTTTGAATAATTCGTCCGAGAGGGATCGGTTTCAGGATTTGTTGCCGTCGATGATTAGGACTTTAACGGAGGCTTTGAATAATGGGAACGAGGCGACCGCACAGGAGGCGTTGGAGTTGTTGATTGAGTTGGCAGGGACAGAGCCCAGGTTTTTGAGGAGGCAGTTGGTGGATGTTGTGGAGTCAATGTTGCAAATTGCAGAGGCGGAGAGTTTGGAGGAAGGAACTAGGCATTTGGCTATTGAGTTTGTGATTACGTTGGCAGAAGCTAGGGAGAGGGCACCGGGGATGATGAGGAAGTTACCACAGTTTATTAGTAGATTGTTTGCGATATTGATGAGGATGTTGTTGGATATTGATGATGATCCAGCATGGCATAGTGCGGAGAATGAAGATGAAGATGCAGGGGAATCGAGTAATTATAGCGTGGGGCAAGAGTGTTTGGATAGGTTGGCTATTTCATTGGGTGGGAATACTATTGTTCCAGTTGCTTCAGAGCAATTGCCGGCATATTTGGCTGCTCCCGAGTGGCAAAAACATCATGCTGCTCTCATTGCGTTAGCTCAGATTGCTGAAGGGTGCTCTAAGGTATAGAGAAATGGTGACTGTATTCTTTTGTTTGTGACTTGAGATTAATGACTTAATGATATGCTGTTTAAGTTCTGTTATGTATATATGCATTTGAAGGGTGCTCCAAGATATAGAATGATATTGTTTTGTATAGTATTAATGCCTAGTTATACAGTCGATTACTCTAAGTTATTTAATTCTTCTTCTTCTTTTGAAATGTTAACTATTGCATGTATGCATTTGATTTTTCTGTGTTGGAATGAATTTCATTTACAAACTATGTTCTGTTTTTTGCTTTGTCAGTAATGTGTAGTCATATTGTTATGACATGTTTTTTCTTAGAAAGAAATGGATTTTTCTTCTTGTTATTTATGTTTTGATGTGTTTTGTGGATGTAGGTAATGCTAAAAAATCTGGAGCAAGTAGTTACAATGGTCCTAAATTCATTTTATGATCCCCATCCCCGCGTGAGATGGGCAGCTATTAACGCAATTGGGCAGTTGTCCACGGATTTGGGTCCAGATTTACAAAATCAATACCATCAAAGGGTTTTGCCTGCATTAGCAGCTGCCATGGATGATTTTCAGAATCCTCGAGTGCAGGTTAGCCATGGTCATTGCTTTGTGTCTGTTTAAGCTACTAATTCTAAATTTAGTATACAGTATTTTGATTAGCATATATTTGCTTCATATGATTTTCCTTGAAGCTGATTTTTGTTAAAATAGCTCTTCTTGTGATTGTTCTTGATCCTTTCGGCTTTGTGAATAATAACTTTATTAAATATTTACTAGTGACTTCTAACTGTGAACTTATGGTCAAGTAAATCTCATGTCACTTTCCCATCTGGTATACAATTTTATATATCGAATTGTTTCCTTCATCATCTGCATGCATCGTTATATGTTTTCTTCTTTTCATACTTCATCTGTTTGTACCATAACCAACTACCTCATTTATTGGAGTTTAAACGCCTGATATTTCATCCTTTTACTGTCCATTCAGCTGGTTTGATGACGATTAGTAGAGGTAACTTGAATGCCATAAGTTACTCAAGAATAGCTAATAATATCTGCAAACATTTGAGTCTGATTTTTAAAATAAAAATACAAAATACCTTAATAATGGTACAGTAAGAGGATAACTTTTATGGCCATGTTATTGTCTGCATTCTTTTAGTTAAGTTTGAGGGGATGGAAATCAGGAGGAAATATTGACTGTCAATAAGTTTTTGTTATGTGCACAAATAGTGTCATCAATAACAAACTGTATCTCAGATTGATCTTAGACTACTTGGCTGATGTCATGGCATGCTCTTCTTTTTCTTTTCCGCTTTTAAGGCAGCGTTTAATTTCTTATATGCTGGGATGAGAATTCAGAGAGTAATCATGCAGGGATCACAGTTCATTTTACTTATTTTGCTACTTTTTTCCATACTTGTTCCCACTGCTAGTACCTATTCCATATTATTACTTTATTTTCTTTTGGTTCGGTGGGGGTAGAGGGTTCCTTTAGTTCCATTTACATTTGATTTTATGGCAGACACATAGTCAAAGATTACGCTGCTGTTCTTTCCAGTAACTGATTAGTCATTGTATTCTTTTGTGACAGGCACATGCTGCTTCAGCTGTGCTTAACTTCAGTGAGAATTGCACTCCAGAAATTTTAACGCCTTACTTGGATGGAGTAGTGAGCAAATTGCTTGTTCTTCTACAGGTATAGTCACATGAAGAAAATAAATTTTCAAAGCATTTGCGTGAATTACACTTTTTTGCACAACCATTAATTTCTTATATGTCTTGATATGACATATATGTACTGCAGAATGGAAAACAAATGGTGCAAGAGGGAGCGTTGACTGCTTTGGCATCAGTTGCTGATTCCTCTCAGGTAATGGATAATGTCTGCTTGGTTTCTTTTTTTAGTTCGTTTCATGGAAGATTTGGTCTAACAGTGTCTGGCTTTACAGGAGCACTTCCAAAAATACTATGATGCAGTTATGCCTTACTTGAAGACCATCTTGGTGAATGCAAATGACAAGGCTAACCGCATGCTTCGTGCCAAATCTATGGAGTGCATTAGTCTAGTTGGGATGGCTGTGGGGAAGGATAAGTTTAGGGATGATGCCAAGCAGGTAGGTTTCGCTACATTCACACAACTCTTTCTTTTTTAGGGAGTGGTTCCTTGAGTTCATCTTGTCTTTAATGGAATACATTTACAATGTGAAACTGTTTTTGGACTCTGGGACAGGGGGAGAATTTATCTACGATCTGTTTTGGTTTATTTTATCATTCATATTCTTACCATCGTGTACCAAAATATTCACCCATATTTGGACAAGTCTGGTTCTTATATTTTGGCATTTCTTTTGTCTTTTCTGTTTTTGGCCAGGTTATGGATGTACTTATGTCATTGCAAGGATCTCAGATGGAGTCAGATGATCCAACAACAAGTTACATGCTACAAGTATACATCAATGAGTAAAATTTGTGCAGAAAACATCTTAAAATTTTCTTCTTGTTGATTTGTTGTCTGATGACCTTTACTTTATGCTGTTATAGGCATGGGCCAGGCTTTGCAAATGTTTGGGACAAGATTTTCTTCCCTACATGAGTGTCGTCATGCCACCTTTGCTTCAGTCTGCTCAACTCAAGCCTGACGTAACCATTACTTCTGCAGATTCAGATAATGACATTGATGACACTGATGATGAAAGGTGTATATATTTCCTTGAACCTAATTTCTTGGTGGAACTCTGCTAATTTCAATTGGATGAACTCTTGTTCGGCACCTTGCTAAGAGCTGTATTTCTGTTATAGCATGGAAACCATCACTCTTGGTGACAAAAGAATAGGGATCAAGACCAGTGTTCTGGAAGAAAAAGCAACTGCTTGTAACATGTTATGTTGCTACGCTGATGAGCTGAAGGAAGGATTCTTTCCATGGATTGATCAGGTTTGTTGGTGCAACATATTAACAACTGTTCTATTATTTAGTTGTCAAAACTTTCCACTGGCGTGATACTGATATAATGACATTCTACATGCAGGTTGCTCCAACTTTAGTACCTCTTCTTAAATTTTATTTCCACGAAGAAGTTAGAAAAGCAGCTGTTTCAGGTATTGAATTGATGATATGCTTTTCTTTTCTTCTGGTTCCCCAGTCCTTCTTTGTAATTCAGCAACACTCACTGCAATTATTTATTTTCTTCTCTAGCCATGCCAGAACTTCTGCGCTCTGCAAAATTAGCTGTAGAGAAAGGGCTTGCTTCAGGTCGCAATGAATCTTATGTAAAGCAACTGTCTGATTATATTATTCCCGCTCTGGTTGAAGCATTGCACAAGGTCACCTGTGTTTCTTTTCATTTGTCTAGTGTTGGAATAATTTTACTTTTAAAATAATCTCAATTTTAAGTGATGAAATTCTTGACTCTTAAATTGATTGCAGGAACCTGATACCGAGATCTGTGCAAATATGTTGGATGCATTGAATGAATGCTTACAGGTTTGTTGCATTCCTTAGTGAGCTTATTTATGTCACTTTCTTTGCTTTCTCACTTTGTTTTGTGTTTGTCATCCTTCTGGATCAAAGTCTGGATAAAAATTGGAATTCCCCTTCATAGATGTGGCATCTTAGCACAATGATCAATGATTTTGTAGTTTGGGAATAAATCTTTCATATCTAATTATTTTATACTTGTGAAGAGAAAAATAGGAAATGTTTTTTTTTTTTTTTTTGAATCTTGTATTTTGTATCAATCTGTGCTTCAATCCATGTGAAATCCGTGAATGTATTTTGCGATCTTCTGTTTCTTCTTTCAGATATCTGGAATGCATGTTGATGAAAGTCAAGTGCGATCTGTTGTGGAAGAGATAAAACTGGTCATCACTGCCAGCTCAAGTCGGAAAAGAGAGAGAGCAGAGAGAGCCAAAGCTGAAGACTTTGATGCGGAGGAGGGGGAGTTGATCAAGGAGGAAAATGAGCAAGAGGAGGAAGTTTTTGACCAAGTCAGTATATATCACAATAGCATCAACTGATTTTCCTCTTCATAAACTATGAAGTTTGTTTTCCTTAGTTGGATAATTTCTGGTTTCCAGGTCGGTGAAATATTGGGAACTCTGATTAAAACATTCAAAGCCTCTTTCTTGCCTTTCTTTGAAGAGCTATCATCCTACCTAACTCCTATGTGGGTAAGACTTCTGCCTCAATTACAAGTGTTTTCCTGAGCTTTCCTTGCCTTTATAAATCTTCTATTTACTATTATATTTTTTTCATTGTCTTCTGCAATGAGAAGGTTGATTGTGCACTAGTAGCTCCTAATACCAGATTTGTTTTGTGTTTTGAGTGTTTATTTCACTATCTGTGTATATTATCAAGGTTTTATTGCTATCTTAATTTTTGTTTCAGTCATCTAAATGGATGACACAGTATAACTTTTATCTCTTGTGGTTCTTTGTGTTGTGTTAAATGTTTTGCATAAAAGCTCCTAATTTTTTGGTATCTTGCTTCTGCTTGTAGCTTCTTCCTTAAATGTCTTGTTTATGTGCTCTTATGCAAGGCAGTAACTGGTGTGAGCATGAAATAGTTGGTTTATGTGTTTATTGCCAATGGCTATAGTTTAGAAAAATATAGAAAGGCTTATTTTATGTAGATCATATTTTTGCATTCAATCTAGGAATTGGAATGGTGATTTTTATTTCCAATATGTTGATTAATGCGGCAACTAATTCCTAATGGATGATAATGGGCTAAGAATAGCTCTAATAATTTGACTTTGAATTTATTGTATTTTATGTGTAAATTGCTGATTATTTGCCTAAAACTAATTGGTACTAATTAACATATGCACTGCATGATTTAAGGTGGCACGATCTTGTTGAAATTTGTGCATATGATAGATTTTAACATTTCCATTCCACATTAGCAAATTCTAAAGATGGTTGTTTTCTCTTGGTGCGCTGCAATATTGTTTCCCCCTATGAACAACAATTTTTACCTAAGAGCACCAAGGGTTGCAACCGATATTCAAACACAGAATTTTGCTTTTGTGAAAGATTGGACAAAATCTATAACTAAAAAGTTCGATGCATTGGAAGCACGACTTTCATCTTTAGCAATTGATTAACAACAATGCTGTGAGTAGTTTTGCTAGTTCTGTTGAGTTATTAGCCTGATATGTTTTGTGATTGTAGGGCAAGGATAAGACGGCTGAAGAGAGAAGGATTGCAATTTGCATTTTTGATGATGTTGCAGAGCAGTGTCGTGAATCAGCTCTCAAGTACGCTTATAGAACACACTCAAACACACAATCATACATACTGGTTATCATTATCTAGAACCAATTTTTGATGCCACTATTACAATGTGGATGGACAGATATTACGACACATTTCTTCCTTTCTTACTGGAGGCTTGCAATGATGAAAACCCAGATGTTCGGCAGGTCTGCATTTACTATGTCTGTCTCCTGTTTGCCTCAGTTTCGCAATATTCTCATCCAAGTTGTGTGGTTATTTTTCAGGCAGCCGTATATGGACTTGGTGTTTGTGCAGAAGTTGGTGGATCCGTGTTTAAACCTCTAGTTGGAGGTAAATCTTGCCTATGTCCTGAAGGAGTTGATTTTTCATTCTAGTGGGAGTAAAAGCATTGGTTCTCTTTCGTACATGCGTGTAACATTTATTAGTTGTTCTCTCCAGAGGCTCTATCAAGACTTAATGTTGTAATACGGCATCCCAATGCTAAGCAACCAGACAACGTTATGGCATATGATAATGCTGTTTCAGCTCTAGGGAAAATTTGCCAGTTTCATCGTGACAGTATTGATTCAGCTCAGGTATTTGATCTATCTTTTTGTCATTTAGTAGTGCATTGCATTTTTTAAGCATATTCCCATCCATCTTCTATATGTGGTGAGCCTCCAAGGGTGCTGTCTGTTTCTAGTAGAAAGTTAAGGATTGTTCCATCTGTGAATTTATTTTTCAAATGAAGTTCACTGATAAACTTATTGCTTCATCTTTGTAGGCAAAGGGTTCATTTTTTCATGATGTGATTTGCCACTGAGATTGGTATTTCTTTCAGCATTCTTGTTGGTTGACACTTGTCTTGTTTGGCAGGTTATTCCTGCGTGGTTAAACTGTTTGCCCATAACAGGTGATTTGATTGAGGCAAAAGTTGTTCACGAACAACTTTGTTCAATGGTGGAGAGGTATGGACTAGTATTCTCTCTCTTTCTTCTATCTCCCATTTTTTGTTTTGGTTCCTGCTTTAGTATGCCTTCACCAATTAACATCCATTAATAATGAACTTGTACCTTGTCATCTGCATACAGGTCAGACAGTGAAGTTTTGGGACCCAACAATCAGTATCTTCCTAAGATTGTTTCAGTATTTGCTGAGGTTAGTTTCTGATTTATGCTTTCACCTTGGTAATGTACAACTTGAGGAACTTTCTATCATTTCGTTTTGAACTCGTTGCTATTTCTCACAAGTGTAGATTTCCTAAACCTTGGTTGATCTGATCTAAGAGTCAAATTTTTAGCTAACAAGTATTGAATTGAAGTGAAGCAATTACATGCTAAATCAAATAATTATATTAATGTAGAATTCCTCCCAATTGTACTTCCAATTTAATTTGGGAACTGCTATCCTTCTCTAACACCAGAGTCTAACATCTGGCAACATTGGTTTTATGGTTATCTACTTTATTATTGCAACATTTTGGGGATGGAGATGATACTAGGCATAAAGATAGTTGCCCTGACCCAACTCCTGACTTCCTATGTTGTCATCGATTTAAATATATAGTAATTGGACACAGATTTTCTGCCTTTGATGCCCCATGTTAAGTCCCTTTACCTAATATGCTAATAACATTCACAGCTTTGCCTGAATTTGGTATGAACTCTTTAACACCTACATAATATCTGGTCTATAATTTCGCCCTGATTTTAAAAGAAATCTGTGTACTTACATAAGCAATGCTGGAAATGATCAAACACTGATTCTTGTACTATAGATGTGGGTTAGGTTTGCAATTTGTTTTTCTTATTTATGGAATGTTACTGTTCCTGTAGGTTCTATGTGGTAAGGATCTAGCAACCGAGCAAACTCTAAGCCGAATGGTTAATCTGCTGAGACATCTTCAACAAACGTTACCACCAGCTACCTTGGCCTCAACCTTATCGTTGTTGCATCCTCAACAACAGTTGGCATTGCAATCCATCCTCTCATCGTAGTCTCTTGGCTGGCAGCGAGCAGTCACCTCACTGGCATTGGAGAAGATGCAATCTCCGGTCTTCTGTTGTCGAAACATATTTATTACCCATTCTTTGGATAAGATGGTTCCCTTCCCATTATTTGTTTCTTGCATGGCGTTCTACAACCACCCAGTGTCAGTTTGATTGAGTGTGAAAGTCATTGCCATTGAAAGTGAATCCTTTTTTTTTTTTTTTTTTTGTAGAATGTGTATATGATTATAAGTGTTATTTATACTCCATCCAGGTTGAGTCGAGGAGGGGAAAAAGAAAAAAGAAAAACAAAGGTGTAGGTATTTGCTTGTCCGTTTTTCTTTTTCTGCTTGGTGCGTGAGGTCTGAGGGTTGTCAGTGAGACAATTCTTTGTCGCAGTTTTGTCCCAGTTGTGTTGCTATTTTTTGGGTTTCACACAAACAAACTTCTTGATTGCGATCAGGTATGCACTGAAATTTTGAAAAATGCTGATTCTTTCATTATAATTATTGCCATGTTGATTTTGATCCCTATTGTTTGCAAAGTTTTGATGTTTTGATCCTGCACTCTTATAAACTCTGGCTATGCGATCTTGCATCACGACTGCTAAAAGTAGTAGAGTTTATTCTTTTATATTAGTACCTCTGGTTTCAAAAACTGTGTAGTTTTTTTTTTTAGGCCCGTCTTATCTACGTTTTCAATTTATTTTGTTAAAAAAAAAAAAAAGATTGTAGAGGTTACCCCCTTTTTTTGAGAAACAAATTTATTGGTCTTTTTTGTTTCAAAACTAATTTAGTTCTTTGGTGAGTGTATGTTACTTTATTTTTAAAAATGTTATGCTTTATGATCAATCGTCTTATTTTTTTTACCTTTTTTTTAAAAATGTCTTAAAATAAAATTAAAATAAATTAAAAACTACGAAAATGGTTAAATTATAAGAAAGTTTTAAAATATGGGGATTAAGCAACTAGTTTTTGAAATAAGAGGGATTAATTTATAATTTACTAAAAAATAAATGGATATTATGAAAAAAATGAATATTAAATTAAACTCAGTCAATTTGTTAAAAGACTTAATTAATTATTTTTTAATTTATTTTTTTATACTGAAGAGACTAATTTATAATTTACTCTTCTTCACGAGACATGGAACTGTGCATGAGGCTCAGAGCTTAGTCGACTCTCAGAAGTTCCGTGGTCTATCTTTTAAAAGACCTCAATTAGGCTGTGTTTGGTACTAGAGATTGGAGGACAAATAAACAAATATTACTTGTTTTCGTCTCCCCTCTTTTTATTTTAAATACGCACTAAATAATTGTGTTTATCTTTCAGCATATTTTTTACACTTTTACACGTAACTATTCATCCTCAGATATAAGCAAACCTTTTAGTAAAAATCATTTGTAGTAATTTTTCATGTGATAATTTATTCTTACATTTTAACCTTATAAAAGATGTCACCTAATTTGTATTGGTTCTTTACATACGCAATAATTAAGCTGTACAATCTTTTATGAAATACCAATGAGCTAGCCTTTTGCTTACATGAAAGAAATCACAAGTTCAAATCTTAGTTTTGTTAGAACTTTTAGATGTGTGAGTTATAAAAACAAAAAAAATAGTAGATTCATATTAATTGAAATTAAATTCATTATTTTTTGAGCTAAGTCAAAGTTAAAACACATTTAGTATTTTTTTGGCTACTGAACTATTTCTTAGGTTAAATCAACATAATTCTGCCATCGATACAAGATAATTATAGTTAGTTATCTATAAATAGTAAAATTAAACATTTATTTAGGTTGAACTAAAACAATTTTTTTATGGCTATATAACATCCTTTGATGGTTAGTGGTTTTTTCTTTCTTCAGATTTATTTGTTTTCATGTAAAGAATGCCACTTTACTTACTTTCTTCTAAAAAAATAAAAATAGAAAAAATGAAGTAACCAAGTCAAAGTCACTGCAGGAGTCACCTTGTCTAGTGCTCGCATGTCCATTGTACCATTATTTGAGCATATTAGCTAATGTTGTGCACTTAAAAATAACTGATGGCCATTATTGTCTTGTCTTGGTGCAATCCTTGTCTTTCTTTTAAAGCTTGTCCACAAAAACAGCACTTGAAATCACTGGGAGGCTATCTACTGGATTTCACAGTAGTAGCGCACGAACTCCGATACCTTGTTTGTTTGATAATGGGAGTGAAGATTCCTCTAAGAAGAGGCAGGTTGTGCAACATAAGATTCCACCAAAATTTGGGATTTCCGTTTTCTTCTTTTTGGAAGGGCCCAATCATAGTCTTCTTTGAAGGCTAGGGCTCCAAGTGTCTTGCCTTCGTGCATTGCACGATTCTTGCTTTGTTTTTCAGTTGACCAAGTGAAGGAGAGGACAGCAACTGAAACCTGAAACCTATTAGAATATGCCTTTGACTATTGTTTTTTCAGGTATTTCTTCTAGGTATGGCTTGCATGTCCCTAAGAGTGGACAGAAAGTGTGCTAAAAATTGGGTGTTAACTTCAACTTTGATATTTCAGTCATTCTTGAAACAGAACAAATTCAATGGAAAATGCTGACAAGTAAAAGAAGACAAGACACCCACTAAGATTAAACAGCTGGAAGACCAGTTCTTTTCTCTATATAAATCACTCTCTTTCAGGTTTTTTCACTCACTTCTCTTCAAACATTCGCAAATGGAATATCAGCAATCCCAAAAGCAAGTTTGTTGGAGTTAGACAAAGGCCTTCAGGAAAATGGGTAGCAGAGATCAAAGACACTACACAGAAGATCAGAATGTGGCTTGGGACCTTCGAGACAGCTGAAGAAGCTGCTCGAGCTTATGATGAAGCTGCCTGTCTTCTTCGGGGTTCGAATACTCGAACCAACTTCAACACCCATGTTTCCTCCAACTCTCCTATTTCTACGAAAATCAGAAACCTTCTCAATCACAAAAAGAGTTTGAAACAAAACTCCTCCACCACAAAATCTACCATTAAAGCCAGCACTATAGTTAGTACCAAGAGTAGTTTCGATAGTAGCATTGATAGTTTTCTACCTTGTAACAGCAACATTGATAGTTTTCCATCACCTATGGACAACAGTATCAGTTATTTCAATGGCATCAAACAAGAAAACCTAGGGTTTGATAATGCATATAGGCCAGACATGAGTGGCTGCCTTGGAGGGCTTGAGCCGGTTGCATCTCAATTCTATCCCTCGTGCTCATTCCCATCTGGGTTTGATCCTCAGCTTCCATTTATTCAAGAAGGAACGATGCTGCCGAAGAATGTTGGTCTGTTCTCTGATACATCACATGTTCTAGAGTTAGCTGAATTCGAACGCATGAAGGTGGAAAGGCAGATATCAGCATCATTATATGCCATGAATGGAGTGAATGAGTACTTGGAGAACGCAAATGATTCAAGTGATGCTCTCTGGGATCTCCCAACACTCTGCCAATTGTTCTGTCCGAGTTGATTCCCTCAATTTCATCAAATTGATGCGAGATTCGAGAAAGATACAGGCATTAGCAATGTTTTGATATCAAATACTATATGAATTTTGATTCATTCATCGACGAGAATGTTGTGCTTTTAGTGATTTTACGAGGCATTGACAGTTTGACACAGCCTTTCATACAAGCAATATTTTTTACGTTTCTTGCCTTGTTTATGCCTACCATCTTCTTCTCCATTCTGCCAACTCTCTGTTTACATCGCAGCTTATGAAACCTAGGTTTTGAGTCAGCGTTTGACTTTTTTTTTTTTTTTTTTTGAGATTTAGTCCATCCTATGATTTTAAAATTCACCTACCCTTCTAAAAAAATTCATTCTTAGTATTTTGAGTTAAAAGTTTACATAAAAAATGAGAAAAATCCAATTTATTTTCAGAAAAAGTCCCATAATTTTTCAAAATATCAAGAAGTATTTATGTTTATTTTTTAAATGTTGAAAATGTAAAAAATAAAAAATAACTCAAAATAATCCTAATTTTTTAAAAAACTCCACATAAATCTTAAATAATTTTCATTATAAAAATAATTATGTGACCGTTATTTTTTACGTAAAAGTAAAAGATACATTAAATCTAAAAATATATATATAAAAAAAATCAAACCTGAAATTAAAAGTTAAAAGAACTGATTTTCAAATTTATTAAAATTCAGACGAATTTTGACCCATTTAGCCAAAAGATGATATACACGTTACAGCAAGCTGCAGCTTTGTGTGCGCCAGTTCCTGATATATTTGATGAGCACTTGTTCAATGTTTCTACTTTCTTGGACATCTAGCTAGACCCAATTAGCACAAATTATTCACTTAACATGTAAACGGGAGAGAAGCATTCGGCAATCACAGATGACCGGTAAATTCACACCCTTCCTTTCAAAGAGCTGTAAAAGCAGGCACAGACTAAGAGAAAGAACCTACAATTTTATCAGATGCCAATTTACTTGACATGGGGTAGCATGAAAACAATAAAGTAGAAATACGAGAAGGAAAACACAGAAATGATGAGCAACTTGATTCTGAAATATCAAACTAAAAACAATAAAATGCACGTTAAATAAGAAGACAGACATAGTCTTAGACTATTTCACAGAAGAAGGATAGTGGTGCCACACATCACAACACATAACAAAGGCGAAGTAAGACCAGAGGGGCTAGTGGCCAAACCCTCACACCTTAACAAATCCCAGAAGAATTCTTTTGCAAGTGGCAATAACTTATTCATAATCATCGCCTTCATCTTCATCATCTACTCCTTCGGCACCAACTTCCTCGTAATCCTTCTCAAGTGCAGCCAAATCCTCACGAGCTTCTGAGAATTCTCCTTCTTCCATGCCTTCACCAACATACCAGTGAACAAATGCCCTCTTGGAATACATGAGATCAAATTTGTGGTCAATGCGAGAGAACACTTCAGCCACAGCTGTGTTGTTGCTGATCATGCAAACGGCACGCTGAACCTTCGCGAGATCACCCCCAGGCACTACAGTTGGGGGCTGATAGTTGATACCACATTTGAAGCCAGTAGGACACCTGTGTATTACAAGTAAAACAAATTTTCAGATTAATGATAGGTCTGCCCAATGGGAAAATGACAGTTTAATAGTTCATACTATCAGGCATCAAAGAACGAAAAAGGAAAGGGTAGAAAATTCGAACGTATTTGTGAAAAATGATGCCCAAAGTTGTTAGCAAGTATAGAAGCAGTTTCCCAAAGATGAGATGAACTAGTGATGCTCATGTATCTTAAAAATGACAATTCCTTAGTTTTCTGCCATTTGTGTGTATTTTCTTACCAGTCAACAAACTGAACGGTCCTTTTGGTTTTGATAGTGGCCACAGCAGCATTGACATCCTTTGGAACAACATCTCCACGGTACATCAAACAGCAGGCCATGTACTTCCCATGCCTAGGATCACACTTAGCCATCATGCTTGCAGGCTCAAACACAGCATTTGTGATCTCTGGAATTGACAACTGCTCATGGTATGCTTTTTCAGCTGATATGACAGGGGCGTATGAAGAAAGCATGAAATGGATACGGGGATATGGTACAAGGTTGGTCTGGAACTCTGTGACATCCACATTTATGGCTCCATCAAACCTCAATGAAGTTGTCAAGGATGATATGATTTGAGATATCAATCGGTTTAAATTGGTGTATGTTGGTCTTTCAATATCCAAGGATCTTCGGCAAATGTCATAAATAGCTTCATTGTCCAAGAGCACTGCCACATCTGTGTGCTCAAGAAGGGAATGAGTAGAGAGTACACTGTTATAAGGCTCCACAACTGCCGTTGAGACCTGCAACAAAAGAGAAGCCCATTATAACCGAGTTCAGTAAGAGCAACTTGTTTTCCCTTTCTCAATTCAAATTTGATATTGTTCTACAAGATACATACACTTCTAATGAAATTGAATACAAACAAAGTCCTTAACAGGGTACATAACAAAAGGGTGTTGCAACACGGTGTGATCACAGCTGTGATATTATGTTACTTTGTCCGCCAATGATATGATGCCCTTAAAATATGCACAACCTAGGCATTGTTAAAATCATGCTTCCTGTGGCATTCCCTCATAATGTCCAAGAACAAGGAAGCCAAGCTTTAACTGCTTTACAAGTAAGTACCTGAGGAGAAGGATAAATGGTGAATCCAAGCTTTGACTTCTTTCCATAATCCACAGACAAGCGTTCTAACAACAAAGACCCCAAACCAGAACCCGTTCCACCACCAACAGCATTAAACACCAAAAAGCCTTGTAAGCCAGTGCAGTTATCAGCCAACTTCCTCACTCGATCAAGGCAGAGATCCACAATTTCCTTCCCAACTACAAACGACAACCACATCAGTTTAATCCAACAGCAACGTCACAAGGCAAAAGAGTTAACCAGGAACGAGTTCCTTTACCTGTATAGTGTCCTCTGGCAAAATTATTCGCAGCATCTTCCTTTCCAGAAATAAGCTGCTCAGGGTGGAAAAGTTGCCTATAAGTTCCAGTCCTAACTTCATCAATAACAGTTGGTTCCAAGTCAACAAAAATAGCTCTAGGCACATGTTTTCCGGAACCAGTCTCACTGAAGAAGGTATTGAAAGCATCGTGTCCATAACCCACTGAAGTGTCACTGCAAAAATGCATAACCCCCATCAAAATCACAAACAGGGCAAAAACACACAATACTATGAGTACAACTTTGGATGTCGAAATACTCACCAATTTATCAAAAGTCTTTAGCTTTCAAAGAATCTCTCTTAAAATGTCAAATCATTACTGATTTTTGGGAAAAAAAAATTGTGGTTTTTCTACAGTTGATATGCGCAACTAAAGTAGAATCAAAATCAATGAAGATCAACCATGAAATTTTTTTATCAAAAAAAATATATATATATATAGGAAAGAAGAAGAAGAAGCTTGATTTGGTGATTTCAAATCTCAAAATCATACAACAGTTTAGTAATAAAACAATGTCGATCCCATCAAAAGTCATGCTTTAATACAGGATTACAAAAAAGCAAATATACATAAAAACAAAAATTAAATAATTTTATTAGCATAACATACAAAAACGGTAAAAGATCAAATAAAACAGAAACAAGGATAGAGCAGTAAATGAAGAAAGAACGAAATACTTTGCTGCTTGATCATCGATTACTAAAAAGCTTAAAACTTGACGAACAAAATTGAAAACCCAGAAAAGAAGAGATACCTAGGCATCAATCCATCAGGTTGGATGCCATGTTCAAGGCAATAAAGCTCCCAACAAGAATTGCCTACTTGAATCCCTGCTTGACCTATGTGTATGCTTATAATTTCTCTCATCTTCTTACCTCGACTCTAAACACTCAGAATCTCTCTGTTCAGACACACAAGACTCTCTCTGTTTCTTCGAAGTTGTTATAGATCAATAAATCTGAAAGGCAGACTGACCATGATGCAAGATTTTTATTGGATCTGCATCTGTGCAAAGTCACTTTTTTTGGTAAACTACATTTCAGTCCCTATATGTTCAGTAATATTTCGTTTCGGTTTATATATTTTAAACCTTTTTAATCTCGATCTCATTGTTTTCATAAGTTACTAATAGAAACCAACAACGAAAACAAACTTTGTATTTATTTTTTGTGTTTGTTTTTATTTGTGAAGAAGATTGCAACTTTATATCATGTTATTTTGGAAGTCACATTTCAAAAGATAAAAATAAAAATTAATGCATTTAATAAGTGGACTTCATAAATAAATTTTTGAAAAATCAATATTTAATTATTATTTTTTAAAATAAATCTCAAAACCTTTCGTTAAGATTAGTAATATATTATTAAAAGTGTTTACAAGATATTATCATCCATATGTGAAAGTTTAGAAAGAAAAAATGGAAAGAAGATATTTATAATATATATATATATATATATATATATATATAAACCCTAGCCGCTATCTCTCTCTACCTTCTTGGCAATCTCTTCATGAAAAAAATACAGTTTTTAGGTTATTGTAGGTGAAAATCACACTGACAACAACATTTATTTTCTCTTTTTTTTAAAAAAAAAATTATTTTTAATAATTTTAGATCTAATAACTAGATTTGATGTTTTTAGCTGTCCAATTAATTAAAAATTTAGTTATGTATGATCTAAAATTCAAGGTTTATTTATTTTTTTACTCAATTATTGAGATTTTTATTTATGTTTGTATGCTTGTTCAATGATTCATAGTGAATCGAAAAATAAATTTATAATTAAATTTGAATTTTAAGTTTTGAAATTGTTGGATCACTCGTCGGAGAGGTGCTTTCGTCTTTGATTGCAATTTTAATTCTTCTATCAACGGGACATAATAGTGCATATCATTTTTTTTTATTATTAATAAGTGTTGATAAGATATTCTTTATATTAAAATGCATAATAAATAATTCAATTGTAAACTGTCTGAAAGGAAGAAGTTTAGAAAACGTCGTTGAAAAATCCTTAAAATCAAGAGGAAGATATACCATTCAAAGTGACACTAATTATTATTTTATTTTTGAGTTTGTTTTTATTTGATTGGATCTAATTTTTATATTTATTATCTTTATTTGAGTTTTATGAAAATTGTAATGACAATGTATTATTATTAGTATCAACAAAATTATATTTTAATATAAAAAAGAAAGAAAACATGGAAAAGTGAAAGAAAAATAAGGAGATAATGGATAATTCTTGATGTTCTATTAACTATTTAATAATCAGGGGCTAAATTAGAGCTTTTTTTAAACCATAGTTAATGTTGGAGAATTGAAAACTAAAGTGCCCAGAGTGATTTTTTTTTAAATTAAGATACCAAAATATAATTATCCAATTTTGTCTTTTTATTGTTTATTTATTTTTTATTGGACCGGAAGACTTGAAGTAGAAATAAATGAAGATTTATAAAAAATTTGGAATCCGTTAAAAGATAGAAAAAAGGGCCCTCTCCACTTGGAGCCAGCCTTACTTGGGACCTACTTCAAAATTGCCGTCTTATTTGTAAAATGACCTTTTCGGCCTTAGATTTTAGTGGGATTATTGGAGAGAGTGAGAGATAAGGGAGGTTGTTTAGGGTAATATTGGGCTTAGATGATAAATGGGAGGACCATTTAGGAGGTGGGTGTCATGTGCGTTTGCAGAAATTATGAGCTGTTTGATGCACTTGAATTATGTAGAATGGCAATATATATATATCATACTCTATTATTCAATTATTTAGTTTGGTGCAATTTGTTTTTTTTTTTCAATTTTTGCATCTTCTACAAAATAATAACAACAACAATAAATAAATAGTAATGTGGTATCCAAAATTTGCGATAGAAAGAAACTTGCTAGATTTGCAATTGCATTTTTAGTAAGTTCATAATTTTATTTTTTGGTTTCAATAGATGGACTATGCATATTAAGTTATTCATGAGATTTTCTTTTCATAATTTTTTTTAGATTTGAATTTCAAATAATAATATTTTAATAAACATGCCACATGTCACTCGATCAAACCTCAAGAGTTTTTTTTTAAAACAAAACAAGATTGATAATCTCTAAAATTGTGAACTATAATTTTAAATTATTGGTTCAGTACGAGTTTAAACTTTGCGAACTATGGCTGAGCAAATTAAAACAAATTTAGTTTTTTCAAATATGGTATATAGTTGATGGAGCAAATTGAATTTACATATTTTAAATACTATAATCTTTCAATGATTGTTACATCAAAAAATTTTAAGATCGAGTTTTTTCTTTCTTACAAGTTTTATTGCAAGAAAATAAAACTATTCTTAATGTTGATATTAACATAAAAGTAATCTATCTTTTTTATTACATCAAATGTTTTAATTATGTTTTTATATTAAAATTTTTAATTATTGTGTCACTTTATTTTTAATTGTGTTCATATTTGATCCATTCTATCACTTTTTTCGACAACAAACACAACTTTCGATATTTTTTATTTTATTTTTATTTTCGTTATCCGAAAAAATGATCGAAAAGATCAAATGCGAGATACAATTAATAATAAAGGATACGATAGTTAAAAATTTTAATATAAGAACACAATTAAGACATGTGAAAAAATAAAGGAATATCCTGAAAATTTAACTCGCATAAAAATTAACCAATTCATTTCATAAAAAGTGGTGCCTTCATGATAAGCTTCTTGTAGTAAATTTGTTACACAAAGAATTCATTCTTTTTTTAAAAAAATTCTAAGTACCATTGCATGCATGAAAATACAAGCAAGCTTGCTTGCTATCATGAGCTAATAATAAGAGCAGGTACATTATCACACAAGGTTATTGCAGAAGCCATGATGCATGGTCACATGCAAATCTTTAGATGAAGGTTCGAAATCCAGAGCTAGCTTTGGTTTCTTGCTGGGTGCTGGACCAACAAGGTTGGTTTCAACATTCATTAATGTCTTACAAAGTTGGCCTGCACATGACTACAATATTCCTTCTCAAGCTCCTTTAAAAAGAATCCCATGAGGGAAATTAATAATTAGAATTAAGGGTTTTTATCTTTTAATCCCTTCTCTTCTTTATCTATTCTCACCAAATTAGTGGCTTCTAGGATAAAACTATTAGGGCTTTTTTTTCCGATCATAAAAGTTTTTATATTAATCGAAATTAATTTTATTTTAAAACAATTTTAAAGACACATTCATCTGATACATTTAAATAAATTTTCTTGAAAAATAACATGAAGATTTGAATTCAGGAAAAAAAAGAAAAAAAAGAAACAAACTTTCTTAATCACCAAAGTAACCTTTTCAAATAACTTAATAGTATTTAATTAGCATTAATAAATACCAATCCAGTATGCATGAATTAAATAACTAAATAACGCGTGATCGCAAGCTGGTCATGCATTACTTTGATTAAAAAAAGAAGTAAGTTAATTACCTTGGCTGGGACAGCTCTGTGTCAAGGAATTAGAGTCGGGATAGAGATTTTCTGATCCAGTCATGCTGTTCTTTGTACAAAAAAAAAAAAAAAAAAGTGATGGTCTTTTTCACCACAATAATGAATCATTCTCGTACGTTTTCACCTGTTAATTAATATATAGTAGTAAAACAACAGGCCGGCTAAACATAAAACTAGAAAAGTTCCTTTTTAGGCTACTTCTCATTGAATAAATTTGGAAAGTTCACAGACAAACTGCTGTTCTTCTTTCCTACTCTCTCTTTTAACATGAATGACAACATTAATATTCCAAAGCAAAGAGAACATGTTTACGTGCCTTTAAATTTATTATAAATGGAAAATTGATTTCGACCAGAAAATGAAACAACAGCAGGCATAAAGGTCCCATGATTTTGCTGGCATTACAAAAACTATCCAATACAGTACATTGTAGATGAGGACAATAACAGAACATGGACAGATCATTTGTCCCCTCCTCTGTCTATCTCTGGTAGTAAAGTAATTTGCCTTCACTATACTATGTATCTGCAAGTTAGGTTAGCTTTTTGTGTGCATGAATAATAATTTTTATAGCAAGTTTGTCAATTGTTTTTTTTTTTTAACAGAATTAATCTATTAAAATTTAAATTCAAGAAGTCTTATTGGTTGGTCTGTCAATTGTTTTTAATTCAAGAGCAAAAAATGATTATTAGATGATATAAACAAGCAAATCTAATCCAAGGTAACAGTTGTATATCTAATGGCCAACTTCTCCTCGAAACTTGAGTATTGACGCCCTATATTGGCCCCTTTTTTATTCCATAAAATTTCAAGGAGTTTCCATTTATTTATTAATATATTTTTTAATATATATTTTTTATAAAAAATATCCAAATACAATTTTGAAAAAAATATATTTTTGAAAAGTATAAGCAAAAAAATATTAATATGGTATAATAATTAATAATATTTTTAATATGTATGAAAAGTAAAAAAAGGCAATCTTTTGAGACCAAGGTGTTAATTTAAATTCTTTTTAGGCAATTAATTGTTAAATAATTAATAGAAACCAACAATGGGGCCAAATTTTTTTTTATATATATTTTTTATTTTTGAAAAAAAGTACATTAATTATGTGTTTTTTTTTCATTTAACATCTGACTAATTATATGATAAAACATACTTAATGAAAGTGGATATGAAGATTAATTTGTTCTGATATTTAATAGTGACATGATTTATTTTATTCTTTACTTAAATAGAAAAATTAAAATAGAAAATACTAAATAATATAAAAAGCAGATAATATATTTCATCATTTAGCAATTGCTCTAGGAAATAACCTATTTTTTTAAAGAATTTTACCAATGTTGGTATTTTAAAGACGAGGTAAAATTTACATATTAGTATCATAGATATATTATAATATTAGTATTATATTAAAAGTATAATATTCAATCAAAAATTCTAACGAGTTGTTGTTGTTGTTATTATTATTATTATTATTATTATTCGTATAGTTATGGATAATCCAAACACCACGAGGTGAGAAATCTTGTATGATCATCGTGGGCTTTATTGATTAGCCCATTCTGCAGACAACAGCCAGCCTGGGTCGATCAACAAAAACATTGCAATACCCACCTACTTTTTCACGTCCTGGGCCTTACGGCTTACATTCCTATTGAGTGTTCACTAACCAGTTAGGCCCATAGACAAATCAATGCACATGGCCACATCACGTGTCTGTAAGCTGTGAACCTGGCATCCTTAATCTGCTGAGTAAATTTTAAATTAGTCTCTCTCGTTGAGGAAAGATTTAATTTATCTTCTTTATTTCAGGAATTAATTATTTCATCTTTATATTTTAAAAATTTCTTATGAATTAATCATTTTTTTTATTTTTTTGATTTATTTCAAATTTTAAAAATAGAAAAATAAGAAATCAATACTAAATATAAAAGGAACGATAAAAAAATGATATTTTTGAAAGAAAGTAGTATTAAGTTAAAAATAATTAACACTGATGAAGAGATTAAATAATTGTTAAGTTATGGAGATTGATGTAGATATAATTTCTTTTTTTAATACGCTCCTTATAGCTAGCACAATAGTCTCGTTAATTGAGTATAGACTCATAAAAAGTTTTTTTTTTTTAATAATTTTAATTGTCTATGTAAATATAATAATATCTATTGTATTTGTAGTTGCCAACTGAAAAATTATAATAAAAACTTCTAGTGTAGTTGTGGAACATAATTTACTTGAATCATGTGAATTTTGTTTTGTGTGATTGTCTCTTATTTTATTTATTTATTTATTTATTGCTTGATTTGTTTTTTTATAATTAGTTTTCGAAACAAAGAGAACTAATGAATTTGTTTTTAAACAGAGAATAGAGAGACTCATTTATAATTTACTCTTAATGTGCTTAAACTTATGTTTTGTAATATATACATATATATGTTTAGCTGTTTGATAGCTAATGGAGCAAAAATGTATATATAAAAAAGGAAGAAAAGAAAATGTAGCGAAATCCCAACAGATCAGATTATTGTAGGTTTTATTCATAAGCCTTAATATTAACGGAGAAAAGGCTGATACAGACAACCCGTATTTAAATAATTTTAAATAGAGTTTTCTTTTCTTATTTACAAGGAAATAAAAAACTCCGTATGAAGAGATGAAGATTTCAGTTTGAGTTGCTAAGCAGGAGATCCATCAAAATAAACAAATGATGTTATGCTCTGCCCCTTTCTGTTTCTTCCTGCATGGGCATGCGCCACCATGCCCATGCTTTTTATTTTCTATTTTTGATTTACGTATTCCAATTTTTGGCAGATCTTCGTTTACATACAGTTGCATATGTGACCTAATATATATATATATATATAATTTGCAGAAATCATAGAAATGAAAATGAAATATTACTGAGCACGATGGTGATAGTGATCGTAATTCTGTATGTGTAATCTTTATAAGTAGGCGTCATGTGTTTTCTATATATATATATAGCAATTTCGGTTCAATTTACATATATCATATGAAACATATTATTTTTTATGATTCAATTCACAGAGACAAAAATATAGGAATCAACATTTCTTTCCCACGAACCAAACAATTTTGCAACCAATTCTCATGTTTTTGTTTTTTTGAGAGTTTCCTTGTCCATATCATGCATTACTGAAATAACAAGTCCACCAATTAGACAACTAATCTTTGTTTAACAAAACCCTAATTTATATTTTCCTCCTCAGTACAAATTTTTTATTTTTCCTTGAGTTTTTGTGGACTTTCCTTGTCCATGTTATGCTTTCCGGAAATACCAAGTCCACCAATTAGACAGTTAATCTTTGTTTAACGAAACCCTAATTTATATTTTCCCCCTCGTTGCAAAGACAATAGCGACAATCTCAAGAGGGATATGACTGCATTTTGTCCAAAAATAGGAGGACATTATCGTAATTCGATATTTGAGAATCTGTCTATCCCTTGTGGTTGGGCAAGATGAGGTTCTCGTGCATCGTGCAGAATTTTTTTTTTTTTAATGATCGATTTACTGAAATAACCTCACTATACCCTTTAATTTACCCTGTGGGCATTGTTTCTCTGAAAACATCGCCCACTTTCAGAACTTCAACCTTTGGAATTAAAATAATAAAGAAGAAAAAACTTGAAATGAATTAAAGAATTTCCCAAGTAATTCTAAGAAAATAAAAATTCTAAATCACATGAGTGGGATTACTTATTTGCCCTTGCTAATTTGTTAAGGTTAGGTCAAACTTTGGCTCTATTATTTTTGAGTCTAAGACGAGTAAAGGTGAAATCCTTTGCTCTAACAGGAAGTCAATATTTAAAGGTTAGGTCATGCATTATTGAAGTAAGCCTGCCAATATATGTTGTTGTTGCACGTTGAACCAAACCTTGAAATCCAATAAATAAAAACAACTACTCTAAGGTGGTCAAAATGACTGTTTGGTCCGTTCCACCATGTTTTTAATGATTTCCATGAGTTTTTTCTTTTTGAGGAAAAAAAAAATGATAGAAGTGCTGGAAGTTTGATTTTTGTTTCCATTTATGTTGGCATTTTGAGATACCAATACTTCATAGGTACTCAAAAGATTATTATTTTTTTTTAACTTTTCATATAAAATAAAAAAATTATTAATTATTATGATGTGTTAACTTTTTTATTATTTTTATAATTGTATTTGGATTTTTTTATTAAATAAACTTTAGTTAGGAGTATTTTTAAAAAAATACATCATTTACAATTTTGATCAGATAAGTATTTTGAAACATATATAAATAGAAAGATAAATAATTTATTTAAGATGGAAGAAGGATAACATATCGTGACTATTTTTGTTGTTATTGTTATATAAAGGAGAAGTAAAAACAAATTTATTATCTTAAATTTCATATGAGATATGAAATTTATTATGCCTAAACATATTTAGAGAGATTCTAAAATATATAATAATTGGATATATATATTTAAAATAAATGCACGACACATGTTATAAGACATAAAATTGCTAATAAATGATAGGATTAGAATGCGATGTAAAAACAAGGTTTATTTTTCTTGAATTTGTTTGAAAAAACAAGATAAATTCAGAGTAATTAAAATTTTTGGTAATGTAAAAATCCGGATGGAAATCCCATTTATTAAAAACCTTATGTACGAATAATCTAGACAAGGAAACCGTACTTGATATCTCCTAAAATACTCTGTCATCAGCAAATTAATTATCCCACTTGTCATTATATCTCATATTAATTACAAGTACTTCAATAGGTAAAATCCATTTCAAAGAAGGGCAATATAGTCAATCACTTCCGCCAAACCCAAAGATCCAATTCTTGTGTCACCCACACCCACCCAAAATAAAGCGAAGTAAATGCTCACCAAAAAATTTCCTCATCAACAATGTAAAGAGAAGAAAAACACCACAATAAAATAAAATAAATAATAAATAAATAAATATTAATATAATAAAAGAAAAAAGAAAGTGAATGGTTTTTCTCTCTTTCATTGTTTCGCTTCTTGTGTTGTGTTAGCTTTGTGTGTAGAATATTTATATCGCCTCCTTCCCTTCTGTATTCTACCTCTCTTTCTTTGCTTCTCTTTGGCAAATCCCACATTCCGCTGCGTCTAGCTAGAGGCTTTTTGAATCCCAAAGAGAAGGAAAGAAATGGGGGAGGTGAAGAAACCTCAATCAACTGGTGTATGGCATACTGTTAAACCTTTTGTTAATGGCGGTGCATCTGGTATGCTTGCTACATGTGTTATCCAGCCAGTTGACATGATTAAGGTACACACATGTTTGCTTTTTTGGCTTTTGGAGATTTGTATTGTTTGTGATGTAAAGTTTGAATATTTTTGAGCTAAAGTGGGTCTTTTAGATCTGGGATTTGATGGGTTTTTGGGAAGGCTCGGTTTGGTTTGGCGGTGCAAAGTGGTTTCTTGAGGTCTGTGTTTTGATGGGTTTTTGTTGTTGTTGTTGTTGTTGTGTTTGGTGTAGGTGAGGATTCAATTGGGTCAAGGATCAGCTGCTCAAGTGACAAAGACTATGTTAAAGAATGAGGGTTTTGGTGCTTTTTACAAGGTTTGATTCTGTTAACTTGTTAAAATTGGGATTTTTAGTTGTGTTTGATGTTGATTTAGTTTCTGGTTTCTAAGATCTGCGTTAAGAGATGAATCTTTAATGCTGTTTAATTTGGAGCTCAGCAGTAATTTCATAGGGAAACAAATTAATGGTTGCCAATTTTAATGCTCTATAAGCGAGGTTTGGTTTTTGCTATTTGGATAGAAAATTGATAAATTTCATCTAATCTGTCCTTTTGTTTGCGAGATTAAAACAAATTTGTAAGATTTGATATTGGTTGCTTGTTTGCGTATTAATTTTGGAGATCGTTACAGAAATGGCATCAACGAGAAGCATTTAACTTGACCAATGGAACTCACAGTGTCTTTTGAATTCAAATGCGTTTTGCTGTTATTTAATTTAAATCTGGTGCGTGATGTGCCTGCACTGTGTCTCATTACCGTAATTAATATTAATGATCAGGGGCTTTCTGCTGGACTACTGAGGCAAGCTACTTATACAACTGCCCGACTTGGATCATTCAGGTGAGTGTTTGAAAATATTTGTTATCAAACTATAATATGGCTGTAGATGTTTAAGCTTCTATTGTTATCAAGCTTATTGAATTCCTTTCTGTGTTTTTGTTAGGATTTTGACCAGCAAAGCAATTGAGGCCAATGATGGGAAGCCGCTACCTCTATATCAGAAGGCTCTGTGCGGGCTAACTGCTGGTGCTATTGGAGCATCTGTTGGCAGCCCGGCAGATTTAGCACTTATCCGCATGCAGGCTGATGCCACTTTACCAGCTGCTCAGCGCAGGCATTACACAAATGCTTTCAATGCCCTCGTCCGCATTGTTTCGGATGAAGGGGTTTTGGCACTCTGGAAAGGTGCAGGCCCTACTGTTGTAAGAGCAATGGCATTGAACATGGGAATGCTTGCTTCTTATGATCAAAGTGTTGAGTTTTTCAAGGATTCGCTTGGTTTTGGTGAAATGGCTACAGTTCTAGGTAAGATTCTTTGTATGCATCGTATTTATATACTTGTATCAATTGGTATTTTTTTGGAGGGGAGGGTGGTGGTGCAAAATGTATGTTTTTGAGGATACATGCCTTAAATTCAAGGGTATATTTAAATAATATTAAAAATTTTAGAACTAAAAATGAAAACGTTGTCAAACTTTGGGGTGCATGCTTCCTCAGTTATGCTGTGGTTCTGCCTTGGGCATGGATTTAGTCAAAGCTTTGAAAAGTTGATCTTAGTCAAGCGTTTTTCCTTTTTTGTTGCTTACATACATGGATTTCGTTTGTTGCTCTATCTATGTAATGCATGTTCGTTGATTGAATTCGAAGATTCCTAACACCATGTGGCAAAGATTTTGTCTGAACTCAATAAGCATGATGTATTACAATGACTAATAACTTCTTTTATCCTCTTTATTCCCAGGTGCAAGTTCTGTTTCAGGATTTTTCGCTTCAGCATGCAGTCTTCCATTTGATTATGTCAAAACTCAAATTCAGAAAATGCAACCTGATGCCCAAGGAAAGTATCCATACACTGGCTCCTTGGATTGTGCTGTTAAGACGCTCAAGTCAGGAGGACCATTCAAATTTTACACTGGATTCCCTGTCTATTGTGTTAGAATCGCCCCTCATGTTATGGTACATCTCCCTCCCTCCCTCCCTCCCTCCCTCCATGCGTGTGTTGGCCCATCTTTCTGTGCATCTTGTCTGCTTAGATATGGGCTGATTAATTCACTGTTTTTAGATCTGTGCATGGAGTTCTTATTGTTGAGTGTTTGTATGTGCAGATGACCTGGATATTCCTTAACCAAATCCAAAAGGTGGAGAAATCCATTGGTTTGTAGTTTTCTGCGGAGATGGGATTTCTGTTGAGTCAAGCTATCAAAATAATGGCATTTTGCTGTGTTGTAGTTTCTCTTGTTTTTGCCGGTTCACACCTGTTTGACTTTAAGTCAAACCCCATTTATTTTGAAATTCTTACTGTGGAATTTTAAGTAGGATCTCTGAATTTTATGCTTATTAGAGTTTTAGGGTGTGGAAGGATTGGATTTTACATAAACCCCTTTTGAATTCAATCGAGTTCCTCATTTCAATCCTTGAGAAGAGAAAAGTAAAATAAATTTTGTACTTGATAAACAGGTATTACGGATTAACCTTTGTATTTTTTCTTGAGACATATATCGCATAATTCAGCCTCGATCTCACTCTATGCTCTGAAGTTTCCTTCATTCTGCCTTCTGTTCATTCTCTCTGTATACAGGATGTTTTCATTGTTTTTGTTTTCGATTTGTGGGGGTGTTTTAAGGGTTAGAATCTATTGATTAGGAAAGCATATTGCTGCATCTTCTTACAAGATGCAAGCCATGATGTAAAAAGTCATGAATTGTGTGGATAAAGCTAGATTCGGTTCTTGCTGCAAGTTGGTATTCTTGGGATGGCCAATCTCTCCGCCCCCTCCCGACTGCAAATTGGCAATATGTCAGGTGCTAGTTCATGTCTCTTTCCCTAGTTTCTCAATAACAACTGGATTGCGATGAATGGTAATTTTAGGCAGAGTTCTTCAATCCTTCTCTGCTTGATTCTGTGTTTTTGGTCAACCTAGATCGAGCATTGCATTGTTGATGGAGACTGGGAGAGTTTCTACTTGTTAAACCTTTGAAAAATCTTACTATTCATATGACAAGGAAATCTTCATGTAGTGAAGCAAGGAGTGAAATTTTATTAAGATCCACCAAAAAAACCATTTATCCAATAATTTAAGTTTTCTTACTAAAGGAGTATTAAAGCTAAATATCCGTAGAAATTATATTGACAGGTATCAAAACAAGAAAAAAAATCCTTACTAGATATTTCTTTTTATTATTCTTCTGACATATCTTGAATTGTACTCGATATTCTTTCATGATAAAAAAACTCATTAATTTTGTAATCAATATAATAACTTTCAACAAGATTTTAAATACATGTTTAATTTCTTGATCGTTGTTATAATTCTGAAATAGTTGACACTTTCTGCAATTCAGAAAGTTCAAAATACTCCAATTGATATCTCAAGTACAACCTTTCTTATTTTGTAAAATTTAAGAATAAAATTTATTGGCAGGTATCATTAATATATTTTTTTTAATAACCACTCATAAATAATATTAGTATATGATATGTGTAATTAGATTTGCGTGAATCTAAAGAGGAGGGAGGAAAGCAATGGCAGAAAGTTTGAGGAGGGGATTGAACTGCTGAGGGGATAAAGTAGTCTCTCTAGTTTTTCAAAAGGAATTAAATGGTCCCTTTAGTTTTAATAACTGATTAATTAGACTCTATATTTTTAATCTATTTGTAACTTAATTCTTTTTATTTTAATAAATAAAAAACAAAAATATTAGCCTGCTTGTTCAATTGGCGAGACAGGAGGAAGAAATCTTCTTCCATGAAATCTTCGAGAAATTTGATTCAAGTTTTTCATATTGGAACCCACGCTTTTTAAGGTTCACCTTGGAGCTACCATAGATGGAAAATCTCTGCTTTCACTCTTGAATTGTCGAAGAAACACCTCCAATCTTTTGTACAAAAGAGAGCATTTATTGAGACGGAGATAAGATGCTTTTTGGGAAAGACTAATCTTTTGTCTTAGAAATTTGGAGAGTCAGTCAATACCCAGTGGTTATTCAAGTGAAAAGAATCAAGAAATGGGTTTTGCTTCAGAGAAGAAGGAAGAAGAGAATCAGTCTCTAACAACAGGAAGAAATACTAAAGCTGCTTCTCCAATGGGTGGTTCTTGGTGGTGGCAAAATGTAAAGCCATTCGTGAATGGTGGATCAGCATCATTAATTACTAACAGAAATAAAGTTTCTCATTGTAGATTCTGCTATCCTCTACCTGGCAAATTATGACAAGGAATCTGCAGCAAAGGTCATTAAAGGGCTGCCTTCCCGTGAATATCTCAAGATTAGCCTGTTTTAATTTTATTTTGCTTCACACACACAAATTTATTGTAATGGCTTTTTATTTATTTCCCATTTTGTGTTTGGTTTCTGAAGGAACGAGAGCAAAAGAACTTTCTTTATGTAGAGCAGGCAAATTGTTTAAAGTTCATGTTTGGTTTCAAAGATAGGAGAAGAATCAAGGCTCTAACTTTTGATTGAAAATCAGCAGTAGTATTTTTACTGAATATGTGTAGGAAATGTTGAGGAAAATTCAGTAATTTACTTTGCTGGTAGTGGATTACATGTATGACACTAGAAGAAACCTGGAAGGTCGAGGAATCCATTGAAACATACTGATCAGAAATGTTGACTGTCTGTCCCTATGATCTACAAAGATGTATAAATTCAGACATTTGATTCCCAGTAAACTAGAAAAAATGGAAAAACAGCATGAATTCAGACAACATCATCAACATGTTCACCTCTGGTTAGCTTTTATGAAACTGATCCAGCAATATTAATCATTTTATAAAAGATTACTAACATCAAGATCAAGATCAAAATCAAATCTAGTCCTTCTTCAAGGACTTAAAACTTGTTCATACTTATAGCAAAATAGGTATGTAATGTCAGTAGCCATTACCTATATATGCTATATTATCTCACAGCAGCCAATATATGCTTGAAAGATTGTAGATAGCGTAGCGTTCTACATGATCATGATGATGGTTATTGACAAATAGGGTCTTGCCATGTGGCATTGCTAAGCAATATTGGAAATTTTTTGGCACGGCAATTTGTTTCCTAAAATGAAATTTTTATGAAATATAAGCCCCATATATATTGGCTCACTAAATATTAATGTACTTGCCTTGAATATCTAGATTTCTTAAATAAGCAACTAATAGTTCTTATTACCTATTATATAACTACCTCTGGGACAGAGTTAGAATTTACTTAATACTCCTAAACCCTAATCAACAACTCTAAACGACATATCTTTGTCCAACCATCTTTTCATGTAAACTAGAGAAGTAGTACATTCTTTTTACAGACATCTTTATAGGTGGCCTGCCATCTTTTCATGTGAACTAGACAAGGAGTATATATTTTTACAAGCATCATTACAAGTAAGGTTCGTAATATTACTTGGTTTCCTTCTTTCTTTTAGTACAAGTTAATAATCGATCGGAAGTGCTGTCGTTTTTGTGTAATTTCTTGATATATTGTTTTTGATATATATATATATATATATTTCTTGGTTTTTAAGGATGCAAAGAGGTAACAACAACTATAGCAATCGCGTCGCGGTGCATCAGGCATGTGCATCATGCAAGCATCAAAGGAAGAGGTGCGCGGAGGATTGTGTATTGGCACCATATTTTCCGGCAGAGAGAGCACAAGAATTTCAGGCTGTTCATAAGGTTTTTGGAGTTAGCAACGTAGTTAAATTAGTGAAAGGTGTGAAGGAAGATAGGCGAGAAGAGACGGTGGATTCGTTGGTTTGGGAGGCTGCTTGTAGGCAAAACGATCCGGTTTTAGGTTCTTATGGGAAGTATAAGGAAATTAAGGAAGAGTTTGAGTTGTTTAAAATGCAACATCCATTGACAAACCAAAATCTAAACCAAAACCTTGGGACTGCAATGTATAAAAAACAGTCTCCAGTGACCATTGCATGGAATGGTACTAATGGGATAAATGGGATGAATAATAGGGGAAACGGCATTGGAGTAGGGTTAGCTAATAATAACATGGTAAATTATGGTCTTGATAATTCGAATTTGATTGTTGATTCAATCCCACATAATTATCGTTGGCAATATGTGCAAAGTTCAGATAAATCAAATCAAGAAAGAGATGATAGCTCCCTTCTTCTTCCAATGCCGTCCCCGCTGCCGTATCAGCAACAATACTACCTTCCAGGTAATTATCTGTTTATACTTAAATTTGGATTTTTAGTTGGTCTAACTTATTGCTAATGGGATATTATATGTCTGTGTTTTGTTTTAGGCCAATTTGGTCCAGTGAATGGCAAACCAATGGATAACACACTCTTCATGGGAGAAGAAGATGAACCCTTGAGCCGAATATGAAAAGATCATAGTTAAGCTTGGACCTGCATTGTTCTTGATTAATCTGCTATTTATCTAGAAAAAAAAAATCTATAAAAATAGAAATTCAGAACATACAGTACTGTTACATGGATTATTTTTATGTCTCTATTCAAGTGTGAAAGATCTGAAATATCAAACTAGATTTAGGCATTTTTTTTTCCCCCAAGTCTTTGAGAATTATGAAATTATCAGGATTGCTTGCTCCCAACTCATCATACACACTTGCAAAAACAAGGCAGAAGCAAATATACATAAAGACAACAGCAGTATTTAGACCATAGGTACACATGTAGGCAATGTCATCTGTCGTCAGACTGAAGACATAAACTAAAGAATTGAAGATGAAGCCTGCAAGATCATTCCCATATTCTTGTGACTTGTAGAGATGCCTTCAGAGTTTCACACAAAGCTGGTGGAGGCAAAGGCCTAGCAGCATTGTGGAGACTTTGGTCCAATGTTCGTGCTAAAAATCATCTCCAATCTATCAATACGAAGTTCAATCCAAAGGGATGTAATATTGGTACAAGGTTCACAAGATAAGGATAATAGTGCTGCTCGAAATAAGGAGTTTTAGATCCAAAAATGCTATTACTATGCAATAATGTCAACAATGATGGATCAATTGTAATTGAGGAAATCCTCGTCAATCTATGGTGCCAGGGCATTCTGTATTTCTGTATTGATGCATTAATTCTAACATGAGGCGAAAGTGTTTATGATGTTGTCTTATAGGGACAGTGAATGTTTCTGATTAGTATGTTTTAATGGATTCCTCCATCTTCCAGGTTTCTTCTAGCACCATCTGTAATCCATTAGCAGCAAAATAAAGCAGAATTTTACAACCAGCTTAACTAATGTAATTGTGTCTGAGGATATATATCTTAGGTTGAACGATTAGAATATAGCTGAATCCGATTCTATTTCAGCCCACACAGCTCAAAGCTACTTGCATATTGTTAGAATGGTGATACTTTTGTCAAATACTCTCAAGAATAAATATATATATGTGTAACGTATTATTGACAGTATGTTTGTTGTAAATCAGTAGACAAAATCAAGTCCTAGTCACCAAGTTATGGCAAGAAATCAGTGGCAATAAGTGGGATTAGTTGATGACTTTTGATCTTACTAGAACTCTCTAGTAACTTAGCTAACTCTATATATATATCTGCCTTGTATTCAGCAGCAGAGTAGCAGACAAATGAAATGCAGAATTGAAGAAAATCAACTTTAGTTTCTCCATTATTTGTTCAAAAACCGACAAATATTGAGTGGCAACATGGTTTTCTCGACAAGTTAAGGCCTAGCTTGGAAATACTACAAAGCAACATTTCATTTATTTGTAGAATCAGGGGAGCAGCTCCTCCTTGGAGACTCTTGAGCTCCACAATCCAGCAGATTCATCGGAGTCCTGGCCCGGATCTCTTCTAATATAATCCATATCATCCAAGGACATATCCAATCCAATCGGCAAAGTTAAAATGAAGAAAGTAAATGATGACTTTCCATATGAACAAATAAATGCAACAACTCTTAGAATTGAAATGTGGACATGGATTTGTGGACGAGCTTGTGTGCAGAGACAGAAGAAGTACTATGGTAAAAGGTAAAGAAGTGGAGCAAAGAAACCCTCAAAATCCTTTGTAGAGTTCCACAAGCACTCTAGCTTTCAGAACTTTCAGGGCACAGTCCAGGGAGCTTGTGAATGGGAACTTTCCATCAGCATTGGGTCTCATAGCTTTCATATATAATTGAACATTTCTGACAGATACACTTCAGGCTAGGGCAAGGAATGCTGAAACAGCACCTGCACCTGAAACAAAAGACATCAAATGTGCGTGTGAAATCTTCTCTGAAATGTGCTGCATGATCCGGCATAATAGAACCAATCCTAATCATCCAACAAACAAAAAATTCTGTCTGAAAAAAGAATGCTTGCTCAATCGAGTTTGAATTTCACCAAAACCACAAGAAACCTTAAAATGCTGCCGAAGTTCAAAACACTCCAGTTTTCCATAAGGCTGAAAGCCCTTGATTTGTACCAATACCGTATAGAGCTCTGAACACATCCCCATAAGTCAGTTTTTTTTGCCTCTGGTACCATCTTAGTCAGAGCATGATTTATGGCTGCAGCTAATGGAGAAGAGAGGCACGCTCCAACAGTTCCAGCAAATACTGCACAGCAGGCTTCCTGATGAATGCCTAGAGGTTTTCGACGATTAGCAGCAGTGGCCTTTCTTGGCAAAATCCTAGTAAAACCAAAGGCATCATTTATTGTTAACAGAAAGCTTCAGTTCAACATCATGCGTATACACTTTGACATATGAGAGAGAACAACTAATTTGTTGATTTTATCAGTGCATGTGCTTATGATCTCAATTACCTTTGCTAACCACCAAATCACCACCAATATTGCGATAAGAATTTTGGTCATATAACCAACCCTGATTATTCTCTTTTCCTTTTTTTCCGATACAAACGGTGGAGTTTGACATTTTGATGGCTCTTTTGATTATAGGAAGCAGCGATGTGTAAAGTGCTTTGGATGAAAGACCCTCCTCCCAAACAATGGAACATAGAATAAACTTATAGAGAACAAGATCAAATTACTGAGAAAGATGTTTGCAGAGGAAAACCAGATCAAATTCCTAGTTCCCTAGAAAATTATTGAAAATTTTTCCTGAAACGTTTCCTATTTAAGCAAAGCAGTGTGTATAGATATCATACACTTCAACATCTATGGTCACATGAATGTTGAACCATTAGAAAAAATCAAAATCAGATGATATTTATGAATCTGGAAATGAAATGGCAGAATCTAGAGTAGCCTGCTATGTAAAGCAAATCCATTAATTACTTGGCTTGATGGTTGACATTTGACAGCTTCATGGTTCACACTGAAATAAATTAATGAAAATCACAGCTAGAAAGACAATCCAAATGGGAAAACGGTAATGGTTTTATTTGTCCTTTTTCTCCATAAATTAATACACAAACGCTTGCATTCCAACGCATATTCAGTAAAAATACTACTGATTTTCAATCAAAAGTTAGAGACTTGACTCTTGTCTTCTCTTTAAAACCAACCATGAATATATTTTAAACAATTTGCCTACTCTACATATAAAGGAAGTTCCTTTGTCTCTTTCCTTCAGAAACCAAACACAAAATGGGAAATAAATAAAAAGTCATTACCACATATATATATATATATATATATATATATATATAAGGGATAAATAAAATGAAAACAGGGTTAGCTTGAGATTTTCACGGGAATGCAGCCCTTTAATGACCTTTGCTGCATATAAAGGAAAAAACTTGGATAACTAAAATGAAAACCCTTTATGCTAACCTTGAGATTTTCACGGGAATGCAGCCCTTTAATGACCTTTGGTGCAGATTCCATTCCATAATTTGCAAGGTAAAGGATAGCAGAATCTACCAAGAGAAATGGTATTTCTGATAGCAATGTTGCTGATCCACCATTCACAAATGGCTTCCCATTTTACCACCACCAAGAACCACCCATTCGAGAAGCAGCTTCAGTATTTCTTCCCATTGATAGAGACTGGTTCTCTTCTTCCTTCTTCTCTGAAGCAAAACCCATTTCTTGATTCTTTTCACTTGAATAACCACTGGGTATTGATTGACTCTCCAAATTTCTAAGACAAAAGATTAGTCTCTCTCAAAAAGCATCTTATCTCTGTCTCAAGAGATGCTTTCTTTCGTAAAAAGTATTAGAGGTGTTTCTTTGACCGTTCAAGAGTGAAAGCAGAGAGTTTCCACCTATGGTAGCTCCAAGTTGAGATTTATGTACGAAGGAGAATACTATCTGTTTTGGGATATAAATACTTTTTTTGTGTTTTGCATGATGGTTGGCTTGGCAAAAATGGTGTCAGTGACTTATGGTTTAACTCATGCAATTTCTTTTTCTAAATGGAAGGCAAAAAAGAAGAAGAAGAAGATTCTCGCTTGCAGGAAAAAAAAAAAGCTTGAGAGTACTCTTCGGTCTGAAGAAGTTTTGTTGAATTACTAGTTGATGGACTAGTTCATCAAATCAAATCTATCTATGCATCATTGATTAACTATGAATTCTGATACATATCATTGATTAATCCTTGGGAGCTTAAAGCCTTCTGTCGAGTTTAGATCCATTTATTTGGATATATTGTCCAATCCATATATATATATTTATATAAAACATAGTATTTAAAGTGTTAGTACATGCATGTAGGCCGATAAATAAGAAAATAGTCCTAGGAAACTATCAAGCATCTACACTAGGGAACTAGGAATTTGATCTGGTTGTCCTCTGCGAACTTCTTTCTTAGTAATTTGATTTCGTCCAGAACGATCAATGATTACGTTCTTATTGATGCAGCTTATCCTGCAGGTAGAACTATGACAATTGCAGTCTACCATCAAATATTCAACTGCTTGAATATTAATACATTCATCAAATATTCAATTGCATTCTACCTATAGGGGTATTATTACAATGTTAAATTAATTTCTGGTATGATTAAGGGTATAAAATTATTAATTTAATTTAATAAATAATTGAATAAATGGGCTGCTTCAAGTTCATTGATGCCACTCAATTCAACAAATGGGTCAATGAGTTCCTTTCTCAAGCTGTTACAGAGCAAAATATTCTACAAGACTACAAAGCTTGTCCATGGTCTATATAAAGCCATACTAATAAAGCAAGTGTAACAAAGCAAACAGCTAGACCAACAATTTAAGGTAGACAACAGATCAAGAAACAACAGTAATAATCATCGGTAACACCCTAGTGACAGTCTTTATCTGATTGATCAACAAAAGCAAACAGAAGTTCAGGGACTGTTTCGACGTACAAATCTAGCAATTGTTGAAGTTTTGAAGATGCTAGGTCCATATGTTGACATAAATATCTCAAGCAGGAGGGGAAATTGTAAAAATATAAACAGGGAGACTGGAACACATGCAAGCGA